ATAGAAAGAAGAACGAAGATTGTCATGTGTTTTGTGGATCTAGAAAAGGCTTTTGATCGAGTACCAAGGAAGGTCATTGAATGGGCGTTGAGGAAGAAAGGAGTGAATGAGAGACTTGTTAAAGCTGTGATGCAGCTGTATGAAGGGGCAAAGACAAAGGTGAGGGTTGGAAGGGGGATGTCGGACGCTTTTAGTGTTAAGGTAGGAGTGCATCAAGGATCAGTGTTATCACCGTTTCTGTTTGCAATTGTGATGGATGTTGTGTGTGGAAACATAATGGAGGGGTTGTTATTTGAGATTTTGTATGCAGATGATTTAGTCTTGATGGCTGATAGCATGGAAGAATTGCAGTTAAAATTTGACAGATGGAAAAGTGTTATTGAAAAGAAAGGGTTAAAAGTTAATATTGGTAAGACGAAGGTAATGGTGAGTGGGGAAGGTGGGGAGCGAGTGATAAGTAAAATAGACCCCTGTGGGGTATGTGACAGGAGAGTGAAGGCTAACTCGGTATTGTGTATAGGATGTCAGAAATGGGTGCATAAGAGATGTAGTGATGTGAGGGGGGCACTGAAAAAGGTGGAAGGCACGTTCAAATGTAAGAAATGTGTTCATGGTGTGATTAATAGGACGGACGCAAGGACGGGGTTGAGTGGTGGTATTGAAAGAGTAGAAAGCTTTGTTTACTTAGGGGATAAGCTGAATGCGGATGGAGGATGTTTGAGCGCAGTTACGGCTAGAGTTCGTGTGGGATGGATGAAATTTTGGGAACTAGGTGGGGTATTGTGTGGAAAGAAATGATCAGTGAAGATGAAAGGGAGGGTATATAAAGCATGTGTGAGAGCAGCGATGGTATATGGTGGTGAAACTTGGGTGTTGAGGAGAGAGGAGAAAAGTGTACTGCAGAGGGCTGAAAGAGCTATGGTGAGGATGATGTGTGGGGTTAAAGTGAAGGATAGGAGGAGTAGTACAGAGCTGATGTCAATGATGGGACTGAATGAGGACATTGTGACATTGATAAGGAGATCGAGATTGCGGTGGTATGGACATGTGTTGAGAAGGGATGAAAGGGTCGGGATTAGGCGAGCGTTGGAGTTCGAGGTTGAAGGAGTGGTAGGAAGGGGTCGTCCGCGATTTGGATGGAGAGAGCAGGTGGAGAAGGACAGGGTGAAAGCGGGGTTGCGTGATACTGAGGCGAGTGACAGATGTGGATGGCGTCGAGGGGTATTTCGGTTTCATCATAGGTAGCCAAACGGCAACCCCCGATCTCGGGGAAAATGCCGTCTAAACGTGTGTTGTTGTTTGTTGTTGTATTTTCATCCTATTGTATTTTATTTCATTTCATTTATTTATTTATATTATTTTAAAAATACAATGGAAGCTTTTCGTTTGCTGGAGGCATAGGAACCTCAATTCGCGCCTCTCTATTTTCTGATTATGTTAATAAATTCAATAGAATAACTCAAAGTTAAGCAAAAACAATTACCTGTGAATTGTTGAAGTGAGTTTTCCACTTATTCAGATGTGAAGTGTAGAGCCCCGGCAACAAGCACTTGTTTCTAAGATTGTGAACGTCACTGGATGAATTGGTGGCGGTGATGACGTCATAAAAGGAATGTTTCAAGGCTGCTTCGTCCTTGTGCGACTGGGCGTGCTGATGGTGTCAATAAAGAGTAAATCTTACTGCAAGATGATACAATTTCACATTATCCATGAGGAAGAAAACTTAGTACTACTCGAAATCAACTTCAACAAGCAAACAGGTCAAACTAATCCATCTCTCTACATTTCCTCTCCACCCACATCAGCAACTAATGAAAGTCGGTTGCACTCACACTCATTAGTAGCTGAACTAAGCCAGTTTGTGTTAATTTTATTCCAAATAATTTGGTTCTAGAACCATACATTATAACATGGTGGGTCAATTTAAAAAAAAGGTGAAAATGTGTCTGGTCGAATAACAGCATTAATTAAGCAATCAATAAATCAATCAATTAATTAATTCACTTAAAAAATGTAATAAGAATTAGCCTCTTAGTAATATATATTAGTCTCGTTTCTCCGTGCATACACTTATTTTAAAATTATATAAATTTTGAGAAAAAAATTAAAAGAATACAGTTTTACAAAGAAAGAGTACTTTAAAATCCAAGTTGAAACAAACAAACAATTAAACATAAGAAAATTTAATGTGATGGGTGAATTTAATGATTTTTCATAAGACTGTTAATATCAGGCGCAAGTTTACTGAAAACAATCTTAAATCTCCAAGTTTATCTTAAAAAATCAAAGTAATTCCTTTTTTTGGTAAAAACCCCGGCAAAAGAACAAAACCAACGTTGCAAAAATAGAAGGATGGAAATGAAACAAAAAATCTTTGAACAATTGACCCAATCCAGGGTACTTCAAAGGTTTTTGAGCTTTGTTTACAAACTGACAAAACGTTTGATGGGTATCAACCAGGTTAGCGTGGAAAAAGATTTTAACTGGTTCAAAGATAAGGTTTTTTTAATCCATGCAAAAAATGTAAACATAAAACTTCTAAAGTTCTCAAATTTTGTCAAAACCTGTCACCGCCCCCCTCCGGTAAGACTTCAGCGCCCAAAAGGGGGCCCTATCGCCCACTTTGAGAAACACTGGTTTACACAAAACAAAGGTGCATAAAACAAAGATGCATGGAAGGTACATCAAAAAGATAAATCTTGAATAAATCAATCCCCACCTTGAGCTAAAAAACACAAAATGTAATAACGATGACGACAAAAATCTCAGTCTCAAATCTCTTAAATGTCTATTTTCCCCATTCAATTTCGATATTTTGATGAAGAAATCCTGACACTTTCAAAAAAGAAGCGAGTGATTGTGTGCAGCTCATTACATGATGCGGACATGAACAAGTTGTAGACGCATTAACAAACATTCAAAAAATAATGGTGAGATTTTCCTTTGAATGACAGAAGACAAAATATAAGAAACCTGAATTTCATCTGAGACAACATACATTCAAACGGTGAATATTACGACAATGGTTTCAATTAGCCTAACTACGTGAAATGAATGAACCAAAATAACTATGAAAATGAAACTGAAAAACTTTAAAAAAACTATCAAACCTGATACCAGGAATAAGCTCTTTGTGATGGATTGATGAGTATGCAGATTATTTTTGTGTCTGGCAACAAAGTGTGAATTTGCAACGGAGCTTTTGCTTCTGTGAAATAATTGGCACTTTTTTCAAACAATATTGTGGACTCTGATGGAGGGAATGGGAAATGATTCATGTACCTTCAAAAATATTACCAAAAATATTAGCCTGATTGTAATATCATAAGGGACGTTTTCGGTTTGATACATTTTTTAATAAAAATTTCCATTCATGAAATTAAATTAATTCAACCTAGCCTCACCAAATTCTCATTTTGCTTCTTTAATATTTTGCTTCAGCATTAATTACTTCAACCAACTATTTTGGCAGCAGCTTGTACATACATGTTTATCAATAACTTTGATCAATAACTATTCTTTATTCTTTACCCCATATTTTTCCCTTTTCCAAATTGAAAGTTCTCAAATTGTATATTATCGTTTGCTTAGTTTTTGTCATTACGGTTTTGGACGGCACTTATAAACAAGCGTAAATATTTTTTAATTTTTCAAAACTTAAGCTTCTTCTTTCATTTCACCACTTCATCTTGAAATTAATTTCAGATTCAATTTTTGCAATTTCCATACAAACGCTTGCTTTTTTGTATTGTAGATTTGTAGAGCGCCTCTAATGAATTATCTTCAGCTCTCAAATTGAAAATACAGTCTGAGCAAAGAAATATATATGTAATGTAACATCAGCATGATTATGCATTCATAATATATTTACGCGACACATTCTTAAGCAATTTATAGTCTAGTTCACTTTCATTCCATCTCGATCAAATATTATCGACTCAGCATTCGATTTGTTCCGTAAAAGAAAACCAGCAGACTGCAGTGGTAGCAGGTGTTGATGCATCAGGGAGAAACTTCTGGACGAGGTTGACCGATACAAAAATGGACCATCCATCACTGATTGACTGCAGTTTGTTCAGCTGAACAGTCTATATTTAACATCTCCTCCACTTAATTTTTTAAAGTCTCTTTCTTATATTGTAAATTTTGTTAAACTACAAGAAATTGAAAATTACAAAGAGTTTGTATGAAATAAACAATGAAATTTTTGTAATAAGCTTCTTAAATGACTAACCAGTCGATACCATTCACGTAATTCTTGTCTGTGAAGAATTGTACCTCCTCAAAAGTTTTGTTGCTTTGAAAGTTCGATTTGATCTGGGGGTGGAGATTCAGAAAAGTATACAAGGCTGTCGTACCTGGGCAATTCAAATTTACATACAATACAAAGGAATTAATAAATTTCTAAATGCTTAATCATTGTTAGAAACACACACAGATAAATTGATAGTTGGCTCAATAACAAAAACATTTAAATATTGCATACGAGCATTCAATAAAATTGGAAGAATATTTGAAGACAATGTTTCTAACTAGAACTTGAAATAATACTGAAACATTTAGTTGGTAAGTGGACTCAAATTGCAACATTGGTGTGTCTTGGATACTAGCTCTGAATTTATTATAAGAATATTCTATACATGCAGTGTATAATGCGATGCTCACCTGTATATATAATCATAATGAAACTGAAGTTATGAAGATCAGAGCTAAAATAATTAAATCATTAAGGCATGTTGTCGAAGGTTAGCAGGCAAACTAATCACAAAAAAAGCTTGATATAAAAAATTTGTAATAGAAACAAAACATAAAGCATAATATTTGCTGCAATTGATGACAGATAAACAAGCGCAACAAACAGCAGAAGAACGCACCGGTCTTTTGAGGACCGACGACAATGAGGTGAGGTAATCTTTTGCATGTTTTCTGACCTGACCATATTTCTAAATGACGTTTGTTATTGCAGGGATTCTGTACAAATTTATTTAAAACATATTCAAAAATGTTCCTATAATCAAATTTATGATTGCATAAAAAATGTAAGAGTTATTTGAAGATTATTTTTATGTCTCTTAATTTTAATCATTTTGTACCCAAAACATACATTTATTTTTTATTTTCATGAAAATTTTTTCAAAATCACAGAATGTCTGACAGTGTTTTGTTGTGATCAATAGAAGTGTTTACTGAGAGTTTCAAGTAAGTGCAGAGGAAAGCAACAAAATCGTTGAAAATGTTTCGCATCCATCCAAACTAGGGAAAAACTCTCAACCATATTACCTTTCCCTCCACCACTGCAAAGAAACAGTGATAAAGTCGGCTACCAACATCTCCCTATGAAGAACGATGCTGCAGATGTTTAGAAAACGGATTTTGCAGACGATTCGGAAAGGGTTAAATTTAAAATGGCACTCTTGGTAGGAGACTGTCTGACTGGAAATGCATCGGTTTACTTGAGTGAACAACGAATACCGGTATCGAAGGCACATGGACGTAGTCATCTTAGGTCGTCGGACCATGGGGATCTGGTTATTCGTCCTTTAGTTCCTCAAAATATGGACGGCGGAAATTAGCTGTAATGGCGGGTGAAATTTGGAACTCACTTCCTGTACAGTTGAGGGATGGTTCCATCACAGATTGACGGTTGTTCAAAAAAACATTGAAACATCATTATTCATTATTTCAACACTGTACACCAAAAAAAGCGCTTCTGAGGTCTTTCGAGAGAGGCACCATACAAGTTCTGATACTGATCAATTTCATTGATGCAAATAGATAATTATTTATCAAATTTCAAAAGCCAAAAAAAGAGTTGTTGCAGGTTTACGTGACACGAACCAACCGCTCTATACTCCAAATAATCATAAGATGGTCAAGAATATTTCTTCGATTACAAACAATCACAGTGATATGTTAAGTGTCAGTCACCAATGCTGACTGACGGAGGGGAATAAAAACATTGTGCTAAAGAAATGGGATGAAAACGGTTAAAATGAAAAAATTGAAAAGAGATTTGTTAAGCAACTTTTTTGATGAAAAATAGAATGGAACGCAGGAGAGTGGAACATTGTGAAAGGATCTGAGTAAGTAGATTTCAATTAAAAATTTTTTATTGGAGTTTGGACGTAAATAAACAAGTGGTTGACAGAAGAGTCGTGTGGAGGTGATGAGAAAAGTAAGGTTGGTGCGGCATCCACGAGAACCCATTTGATATGGAGGAGTATTCCAAAATATCTCTATACATTGTAAAAATATAAAATATATTTCAGAATATCAAGTGAGCACGTTTGCAACCACTGTAAGTAGTGTCAGGCAAGCACTCAGTTAGTAAGGGGTAAAAAAGTGGATTTTGCATGCATATTTCTGTTTATGTGACCAAAAGATTAGTTGAGTAGCAAGACAACAAAGTTTGGCAGCTGTGAATGATGACGTGAAGGCATTTATCAATGAGTAAGCAGCTATTAACAGCCAAAATTTTTTTTAACGCCTTAGAAATAAAAAGCCTAAATTTTAAAAAAATATTTATTTTATAGCCTTGAATGATAATAATTTAAAATAAAAAATTCAAAATTAAGATAATTTAAACTTTTTGTAAACGAAATTAATAAAATTTTTTAAATTTACTGTCCACAAGGGAAGAATTTCATTTGGGTAGAAATTGAAATAAACGTCAGCCAGTTTCGATGGTTCAACTGTCATCATTTTCAAATTCGTCCAACATTTAATAAAATTAAAAAGATTTGTAAAGGTGTATAAAGCCAAACGGTCACTTCCATAGTTGGAGAGATGGGTCATGAAAATTGTAACCTGAATTATTTATTAGTTAAATACATTGATCAAGATAGAAATAAGAGGAAAGGAATAAATAATACTCACGATATTTGTGATGACTGTCATAAAAAGATCTCCACCGAAAATGCTGTTGTCCAGTTTTGTTCTGCCTCCTGGAAAAGTATCAAAAAAGTTCGTGTGAGTAAACAAGTTGCATGTTTGCCTTGGCAGAACCTGAAACAAATAAATTTTGTTCGTAAATCAACTGCTATAATTTATCAATATTCCAAAATAAAGTTTGAATTGCTCATTGCAAAACACATCACTTTATATTCAACCTCTTATTGAGCGTGCTTTTGAAAATGACCTCAAACAGCATCTTAAACACCACTCATCATTTCAAAACTTCAGCCATGTTTCTAACGCCATATTTTTACCAATTCGAAATCATAGTTCCTCCCTTACTATACATCCAACGTAGGATTCCCAACGTGAATTTGCGTGCATGCAAGTTACTGCCGCATCATCTCTCTTCTCGATCAAACTATTACTTGTGACGATCTTTCCTCTCATCAAATAAAATGTATCCACCCGCCGATTGCTCTGCAAAGAACTTTCTTACCTTCGTTCACAAATTATATTATTCCAAAAGTTCTTTTGACTCCTCTTGCTTTCTTTGATAGTTATGATGTCGCATGAAAATTTACAATAAATATATTGACTTGTAAAAATATCGTAATCAAAGCAAATGTTAAAAATTGTTTCCACTTTTTGTCGAAAATTTGCATAAATTATCTAAATATGAAAAAATCATAAAGTCTTTGAAATGAAAATTTGAAATAAATGTTTTTGTGAGTTGATAAATATTTATACCATTAACGCAGCTCACACATGAATGCAATATTTAAAAAAACAAATCATCAGTAACCTTGATTCCCTTATAGATGAACCCTTTGCGATTTTTAGCGGGGTACAAGTTTGGATATTCTTCAGTGCTCGTAACATCCAACCCCCACACCTGTCTCCATGCTTCGTACAAGTCATCGTGGACGGGGTACACGCCGGAGTGGTGCGGGGCAACGGAATAATTTGTGTACAGTGGGAGGTCGTGTATCTGCGTTAAACAGAAAAACATTCATTGTAAAGTTTCACTGGAAACCACGTTAAACTTAATAAAATAGTTGATCTTTTAATATATTCTTAATAATAAACAAACCAGTATAAAATACTAACAGAAAAAAAAATATTTAAAAATTTAAAGTAACCAAACAAAGATTTGTTTAATATAAAGTTTTGTTCACGTGGCAAGCTTACGGGAAAAAATAAAAATTAAGTTTCCAGAAATTCAATCCTCATCAATAAATAAGTTTGTCTGCCGCCTTATAATGCTATTACTGTACTGCTTAATATACATTGATTCTATTAGTCCTACCACACATCTATCTAGTTAGACCAAACAAAATCACTAGAAATGGAAACCTGTTACCTACTGTTAGAGCGTTCAGCACATTTTGTGAAGAGCGCTAATGAGATAAAGTTGATGCTGTGGTTATAAGCTTCGAATGTATCTTGACAACATAAATCTAATTTTTGCATTTGAATGTTTAACTTAAAAATATTAACTTGAATAAATAAAATAAATACCTTTGCAAACTTTTTGTTCACCAGCATTTCACGAACGAGCGAAGAAAAATTTAACTTGTGAGGCTGAACATGACTCCACGTATGATCAAACCACGTAAAATTATGTCGAGAAGCTGTAATAATTAATTTAAAATATAAAATCTGATTTTTATAAACCTGAATATTCAACTGAAATTTATCCCATCAATGCAAAGTTGTAAATGTTCAAAACCTATGAAAATAACCTTAAAATCACCCCAATATATTCAGCAGAAATGTGAAATATTTTGGAAAATAATTCACTTTCAAGCGCTGACTAAATGAGCAGTTAAAACTTTAAAAAAATTCAGCTGACTTAGTTCCAACTTCCTCTATCCACGAGGTGACTACAAATTTATATAAAAATCAAACAGTTAAGATGCCAACGTATGATATAACAAAAGCAGTAGAAGCCGATCATTAAGACGACCAGTTAAAAAGACCAGTCACCTAATTGGAACCAAATTTTCAAAAACGGAATCATATACAATTTTGCAAGCTCAATTAGGCTTGCTTAATCAGATCAAAGAGTCACTAAGAAGTCACTTAGATAGACTGCAACCTTGACAGTCACAATAAAATTTCATTTACCGATAAGTAGATCTGAGCTTTAGTCTGACTAAACTTATTAAATACTTTGCAATTTATATTATACGTTGCAAACAAAAATATTTCAGTAGTCACTAACATCGATCATTTGTTTAACTTTGTTACATATAAAATTTCATTTGTTAACTTATTCATTCATTTATTTATTTATTTATTTATTCATTCATCCATTTATTAATTGATATATTTATTAGTTTTCCTCTTAAAAAATTAGCGCAATAACGTATTTTATTTCATATACACAACTCATTAATATTACTTTAAATTTTTTTATTTTATTTTATTTTTATTTTTATTTTATTTATCGTCATTTTGCATGGCGTACGAGATTCAGTCTCTATCTAACAATCGAGCAAGACATGAAAGCTCTAAATTTAAATGAAATGGATACAACTGATTGTCTAATTTGGCGAAAAAAATTGATGGCAAAGAAAACAACGTCCTACCTCGAAGGAACTGGGTCTCTGGACGCTAAACGAAGATTGATTGAATTCTAATTTTTTAAAGAATAAAAAGACCCATTTTATTTCCAAGCTTACTAATGACTAGCGAGCTGTTGAGCGCATTGAATTTTAAACATTTTTCAAAATTGATTATGCATACATTTGTACATAAGATCCTTATGAATTCTTTCGCATTTGAGGGAGCGGTCATGTCTTGGTTGACATCCCACTTAACTGTTCGAAATCAATGTGTGAAAAAATCCAAACAATCATCTCCAACTAATCCTCTTCGTTGCGGCTTTCCTAAAGGTTTTGCATTGGAACCTCTTTTATTTGCATCCTATATTATACAAAATCATCAACAACTACAACACTGACAATCACTGATATGCCAATAAAACTTAACTCTTTCCATCATTAAATAATAAGGACCATTCTATCATTCTCTCCACCTGCTTCGCTTCAATGAAAATATAGTTTTCGCAGAACAATTTACATACGTGAAGCTCGACACATCAGAGAATCCATATTATCTGAGCTTGCCGGTGATTTAGCACGATGTTGGAAATTGTTAAAATTTAATAACTGATATTCAATAATGTTTGGCATATCCAAGATAGAGAAAACACGTCTTCAAAGATGAATGAACAAACCAGCCAAAGACACACCATCACGTATCATCAACTTCGTCAAAACAAACTTAGCTAAACTCCATTGGCTTCCTCTCAATTTTCACATCTTTTTCAAAACTGCTATCATCGTCTTCAAACTCCATTCTTTCCATTCACCAGAACATCTTAACAGTCTACTAAACGCAATCAACAACAGCAGCAAAAGTCTTTGATCTTTCATTGCTCCACTTTTTCCACGACAAGGAACAACAAACAACATCGCAAAGCGAGCTTTTTGATATATTGATCCACATACCTGCCTGGAACTCGCTCGCACCAAATAGCAGAAACTGCAACAATCTTCAACCTTTCAAATCTTCAAAATGCAATTAACAAAATTTATTAATTTAATTCTTCAATTAATAACGAGGGCGCATCATTCGCTTGCCATTGCGCTTTATAAAGGACCTTATTATTTATATTTTTATTATTACTATTACTATTGATTCTGTGTTACAATGATTATTTTCTTGAATTTTTTTAAGAGTTATTTTTTATTGAATAAATTTCGTAAAAAGTTTATTTCACTTAACAAAGGCTACTATTCAAAAAATGCTGCTATAAATAACTTGTTGAATGTTTAAAATGTCGCTTCGGTTAATGGGACCAGCCGCTCAATCAGACCACATTGGCTAAGTCCCAATGTGGCCAAATTAACCTGCTTTTACAATACCTGAATTATTATTAAAGAATAAAGATGACATTAATGTTAAACCGCATGTACATTGAAAATTTAAGATAATGATGCCAAACTGAATGTGTAACGACTTACCTAAGAGAAATTCATCACCTTCCATCTCATTTATATTGCCTTGTCTATAATATTTACCAGAAAATCCCAAGTTGAAAGTAAAATTTTCTACAACATTTTCTTTTCGAATACGATTTTGAAAATTAACCAGCTCCTAATAAAACAAAACAATATTAAATGAGGAAAAACGTTTGTGGTGAGATATTTATATTGCATGTATTTTCAGGAAGAAATATGTACACATTTTCATATTTTTAATTAGTTAGTTTTACGTTGAAGGAAGAAATCTCAAAATGTGGATTGAAAATTAACAGTAATCTATCTAATCTATGTGGATTGAAAATTAACAGTAATCTATCTCTTAATTTCTTAACAGCGTAGATAAACATTACAAAGTTACATTACGTTATGTGTTTAACTCCTTAATTTATTATTTTAATAAACAAACCTTGACATCCTGCTTTTTCATTTTAAGTGGAGAATTGGCTAGAAAAATGTCATCAATATCCACCAAGATATATCTCTCAAGAGGCAACAATAAACTGCTTCGACTCAAATATGAGATAGCATCAAGAATTATTAATTTGTGAACCCAAAACGTAATTTTGTCGTTAAAATAAATTTTTTCTATACCATCATGCAGCCCTTTATCTCTCATGACCGCGGCATAAACCAATCCATCTTCACAAGTATCTTTGGCCTTTCTGTTTTCACAATTAGTTACTGATATGGGTTCGAATGAAGGATCTTTGCTGTGAAACAAAGTCCATTTTGACGAGGTGTTATTGAAAACGTGATAACCCGGTTTCGTGATTCGTAAAACAGGTGAAGAAGCGTTTACTCTATAATTGGATATATGATTATTCGTGGCGAAAAAAAGTGGATATTCACTTAATTTTGTTATTGGAATATTTTCCTCATTTTGAACAAAGATTAATAATCCCACTTTATAGTTTAAACAATATTCTTTTAATCTCTCTTTCGCATGTTTATCTAAATGAAGATAAATATCCAATTTTGTAAAAACAATTAGAGCAAAAGATCCTTTTTGATGATCTTCTAATAGGGGCAACAATTTGTTGTGGGAAATTTTAACGTTAAACTTAACAGAACCTATCAAATATACAAGTCTTTTCAACAACAAATTTGTGACTTTATCAGTAAAAATGAGCACCTTTTTCTTGACTTCAATGGTTTTTCTACTTTCATATTTCGGTAAAAAATTGTCCGAAATAGGATTTGAGCATTGATATAAATTCATATCATTTTTGTTAACGTAGATTAAATACTGACTATCGAAATAACAGTAAAACATCAAATAACAAATCGGAAACGTACCACAAATTATTACAAGAAAAAATTTTTTGTTAAGGCTTAAATTTCTAAATATCATTCCATTAACTTTAAATAATTTTTCTTGTAAACGATCCATAATGAATCTGACTTTGGTTGCAACAAAAATTGCATAAAGACATTCAACATTAAATTCACGAAATAATCACTTCGGATTGAAGTTTGGTCGATACATCAGTGACCTGTGTAAAACAATGATCAACTATTTTAATTCAATTTAAGCAACATTCTAAAACATTTATATAAAACTTAAGAATAAAATAAAACCCAAAAAAATTTCTGTTAGGTGAAAAAACGATAATTAGACGTGTATAATATTGTCTGGTGAAAGAAAAAATATTTAGCTGATCAATCAATGAGTAGATTTACAAATCATATACCTCCAAGTTAAGATTAAAGTTATATAATTAAGATAATAATGTTAAATGAATTATTTTCAACCTCAAAGTTTAACAAATAATCGCCCAAGTGATATCAAAATCCCCTTTAGCAGTTTAAGAAAAAATAAGTTTACTAGCAGATAAGTGTTTGGCAAGATGATTTTTTAAAGAACTTACATTATACAACATATACATTCTAGTCTAATGCCGGGCTGCTAGATTTAAAATTTCGCTTAATTTTTTTTGCTATCTATGCGTTGTTTTCATTAGAAAAATCGTGTTTTTTGCATGTTGTTATCACTGAATTATAATTTAAATTTCTGTTTGTCACTTAATTTAGTTATTTTTCCGACTTTGTTTGCAAATTGGAGTCATTAAAAATTTAAATAACCACGAGATTTTGTTATATAACTATGTCTGAACCGTCTCATCTAAACACTCGAAAATTTGCGAAAAATAGCTCACAGCCTACAATGAAAGTTGTTAAAGAAAATATGCAGACTATAGAAAATAAAAATGTGCACTCATTTTGTTGTTACCATTGTAAAACTGTATCTATTGCTGCTAAATTTTCTGATGATATTTTTTCGTTGATCCAAGCATGTGAAAATTTAAAATGGATTTGTGACTCTTGCCGGGGTGTTATGTGAGTTAACCAGAGCGCAACGTTATCGACTGCAACTGGCGATATTAAGTCAAAAATGGACGTATTGAAGAATTTAAATTGTGAAATCAAGTAGGAGATAAATTCTATAATAGATGTCATCAACTTAAGTGATTTAAAATTGAACGCTCTTAGTGCTGTGAAAATATTGTGGCTGAGAAAAAGATTAGTGGGCAAAAGATGAATTAAGCAGGACTTTAACATGTATAGAGAAGACAAGTTGACATGCGCTAATTAATGTTAAATTTAGTCTAGATAGTTCACACGCACACACACACACACACACACACACACACACACACACACATATATATATATATATATATATATATAGGATTGCATATATACATATATATATGACAGTACTAAGTTATCATATTGTTATAACCGTGATACCGAACGCACTGGATTCTAGCGTATTCTGGAATGTTCTAGTGACTGGAGCATTCTAGAGTATGCTAGAATCGGACCATCTGGAAGAATCTAGAAACGACGCTTGCGAAGAGTATATAAGCGCACGTCGCAAGAAGATTCGTGATTAGTGATATTCGCGATTAGTGATATTCGTGATTAGTGAAATTCGTGATTTCGTGAATAGCGATTCGGTGAATTATTTAAAGCGATATTTGATTTGTTTGTTGACGTTGTCATAGCGATAGATTTCAAACGATTTAAAAGTTAATTGTTGCGTTAATTTGAATTTGCTAGAAATAAACGATTAGTTGATTTCTTCTGTAAATAAAGTTTAATAACTAATAACTGTTTGGAGTATTTTATTCAATCGAAGATTTGAACCCGTCGCATCGTAAACCGGTTACGACAGCGAGTATTATAACATTGGTGTCAGAAGTGGGATCTTCGACCAGCGAATTACTACTCGTAGAAAAAGAACGCGATGTCAAAACTGTGTGGGTTGAACGTAGTTCAACTACGAGAAGAACTACAGAAACGAAGCCTTGTCACAAGTGGCAACAAAGAAGTAATGCTGATGCTCTCTCACGTCGACCATGTTTACCAGGATGCAAATATAGCTGTCGTCATGAAGAGAAGATACAATCGGAAGACATAAGAGCAACAACAATATCAGCGGACGACGGTTGGACACCGACGGATCTTGTTGATGCACAGTTTGCGGATGAGGACCTACAACATCTGATCACATGGAAGGAGGGCAAGCGACCGGACTGGCAAAGCATCTCAGAATATAGTGCCGTGTTAAAGGGTTATTGGGCTCAGTGGGACTCATTGTATTTGGAAGGGGATTTGCTGAAACGAAAATGGGAATCAGCTGATGGATCAAAACACCGCATGCAAGTTGTAATACCAAGAAGTAGAACGACCAAAATCCTTGATGAAATGCATGGCGGCCCTTCTGGGGGACATTTAGGAGTGAACAAGACCCTTAACAAAATACGAGAAGGATTCTACTGGCTTCACGTTAGAGAAGATGTAGAGAGCTGGTGTCGAAAATGTAACACATGCGCTTCAGTCAAAGGACCCAAAAAAAAGGCTAAAAAGAGCAATGCAAATCTACAACGTTGGTGTCCCCTTTGAACGGATTGCTATAGATATTGCTGGACCCTTTCCGGTATCAGATTATGGAAACCGTTACATTCTGGTTGTAGCGGACTATTTCAGCGAATGGCCTGAGGTGTTTCCAATACCCAACCAAGAAGCATGTACCGTCGCTGAGGAAATTGTACCCAATTGGATTAGTCGATATGGTGTCCCATTGGAACTCCACTCAGATCAAGGTCGAAATTTTGAGTCACAACTGTTTGGTGAAATGTGCAAGCTGCTGGGTATAAACAAAACTCGAACGACACCTCTTCACCAACAGTCTGACGGTATGGAGGAACGATTTAACTAAACCCTGATTGAACATCTGGCTAAAGTAGTCGACGAAAATCAACGGGATTGGGATCGTCATATACCATTGTTTCTTATGGCATACCGGAGTGCTATCCACACAACTACTGGAGAAACGCCATCAAAAGTTCTGTTTGGGACCACCTTAAGAACTCCAGCTGATGTGAAATATGGCGTACTACCTGAACCACACCAACCATTAACAGAATACGTGGATAATCTTCGACAGCGATTAAACCATATCCACCGTTACGTACGCCTTAAAATTATGAAAAACACGGAGGCGGCCAAAACCAGATACGACTTGAAAGGAAGCAGTGGCGGTTTTGCTGTCGACGAGTTAGTTTGGCTGTACAACCCACAGCGGAAGAAAGGACGTTCTCCAAAGCTCCAGCGAGGGTGGGAAGGACCTTATCAAGTCATCACCCGCTTGAATGACGTCGTCTACCGTATTCAGGAATATAGGAAGCCGAGAGCAAGAATGAAGATCGTTCATTTGGATAGACTGGCTCCGTACCATGCGGACACCGGAACGAAAGCTGTTCGGGACGAACAGAACTAAGAAGGGGGTAATGTTATAACCGTGATACCGAACGCACTGGATTTTAGCGTATTCTGGAATGTTCTAGTGACTGGAGCATTCTAGAGTATGCTAGAATCGGACCATCTGGAAGAATCTAGAAACGACGCTTGCGAAGAGTATATAAGCGCACGTCGCAAGAAGATTCGTGATTCGTGATATTCGCGATTAGTGATATTCGCGATTAGTGATATTCGCGATTAGTGATATTCGTGATTAGTGATATTCGTGATTAGTGATATTCGTGATTAGTGAAATTCGTGATTTCGTGAATTATTTAAAGCGATATTTGATTTGTTTGTTGACGTTGTCATAGCGATAGATTTTAAACAATTTAAAAGTTAATTGTTGCGTTAATTTGAATTTGCTAGAAATAAACGATTAGTTGATTTCTTCTGTAAATAAAGTTTAATAACTAATAACTGTTTGGAGTATTTTATTCAATCGAAGATTTGAACCCGTCGCATCGTAAATCGGTTACGACAGCGAGTATTATAACAATATTATTTTAACCGGTGATTTCAACGCACACATTGAAAGGGCTAACGATCTAGTACATGCCGCTAGTCTAATCGATGTCTTCGAAAATTTTTAGCTTCAGAATCATGTAAAAGAGCCTATGCACACACACATGGTGGTACACTGGATTTAATAGTTATTTCAGTTGACTTTCCTGTCCAAAACTGTATGGTATATACAAAGTGGAATCCATTTTGATCATGGTTTCATTAAAATTGTTTTATCAATGACTTGAAAATGTATGGCAAGTCAAATTATGGAATCGTTTGAATGATGATGATTTGATGATTTCGTTGAACTTGTTCTTAGCTTTGTGTCCAATCTATGCTAAAGTTTTGGTGATGCTGTCTTTTTTTCTTTAAATAAATTCATTATGTAGAAGTGGTAAATAAAGTTAAAAGTTTCAAATTGCTCATTAGTCTGTGTAGACATGATTATATTCATTGATTGATCTATACCATATATTTAGAACAAATATATAAGCCTCACAATATAAAATGAATCTCTGAGAGCTGTAAGGGGTAATTAGCATATTTGCAAGATCAAAAAGTCTGTGTAAATGCATTTTTAGATTGCTAAGTGTTTTAAATCAGGAATAATAAATTTATTAAGCAATCGTGTCATACATAAGTTAAATAAATGCAGATAATACTAAAGTGATTACATAATGGAAAATAATCACAGGCAGTGACAAGCATGAATGCCATGTTTAGTTGTTAAAACTCTCAAAAATATCAAGTAAGCAATATTTTTGCACAAGAGTGTAATTTGCAATAAAACAGGTACAATGAAACCTTTCAACAGTATATACATAACATACACACTTAGGAAAGTCCTTATTATCATTACATATACCATGTAAAAGTGTGCTGTAATAATTTTAGAATTTTGACCAA